TGCTCATGAAAAATAACCTTGATATTAATGTTTTATAATATTTTATCCTGTGGGGAAAAGTGCATGAATATTAAGTTTATAAAGCAGACTCCAGCAGTTTAGGAAAGATGTATACATATCTTTTATTTTATAAAATAAATACATTTCACACAAAGAGACAAACGTGTATGTGAGAGAGAGGTTTAAGAAAGAGTAAGCAAAAGTGTCTGTATTAGACTAAAATTAGAAAACAGTTTTAATGGGTTCCTCTTAGTGACACTGGAATTATGGATAATTTTTTATTTTCTTTCTTATACTGCTCTGTATTCTTAAAATGTTTTAATAGATATTTAATTTAGTGTTAGAAAGAATACTTTTAAACATAACTAGTTATTTGAAATAAAGTAACAAGTGTATCAGTATTATAAAATTGATTCATCTAGCCATTTATTACAAACTATTTATTGAGAAACCTCTACATGTAAAATGTGCTGTTTATGGAGATAAAACTGTCCCATTTACATTTGTATTTATAGAAACTGAAATATTTAAATAAGTATCTTATATGCAGATCCTAATATATTAATCAGTAAAAGTCTGTTCATTAAATGAAATGTAATTAAACGAAAGTGAAATAATGGAGCCAAACTATAGCAGGGACACAAATAAAGAAATATCAATTAAACTTTAGTCGATAATTAGTTACAAGTTAAACAAATGAAAATATCAGAAAGAGTCCTTTCCTTTTTTTAATAAGGTACAATTATTTAATATTCAAAAGAACAAAATATGTGCTTAACTATTAAAGTATCCTATGAAAACTAAAGACCTATGTTTGGTATTAATAGGAGATTTTCCCCTCAGGATTATTATTATTCCTTTTACATATTTTGGTACTATTTTAATGATAAAGCCAATTTCCATTTGATTTTAGGTAATTTTAACTGACTGCTATGATAATATTTTAAAATACTTAAAACAGTAACTTATATGTATCTTCCAATGAAGACATTGTGTCAATTTGTAAAAAATATAAAAGGCAGGTTAAGAGATATGGAGTATGAAATGACAATATCTAACATATACCTCATCATAGTCCTAGAAGAAGTAAACCAAGTGTGGAGATGAGACAAGATTTAAAGAGAAAATGGTTGAGAAATTTCCTGAATTGATAAGGCCATGAGCCCACAAATAAATAAAGCAAAAAGTATAGCATGTAGAATAAATAAAAAAAGATTCATTTCTCTCCACAATCTATGAAAACAGAGACAAAAACAAGTTCTTAAAAATAACCAGAGTAAGAAAGACAGATCACTTACAAAGAGACACCCATGAGAATGACAGCAGACTTCTGAGCAGCCACAATTCTAGCAAGAAAACAGCACAGTAATACCTTCAAAGTTATGACAGAAAATAACTGTCAGCCTAGATTTGAGTACTAAGTAAAACTATCACTCAGGGACTAAAGTAAAATAAGACACCTGCAGATAAAAAGTGAGAGAATTTACCACAGAGAGTTTTGCCATGGGGGGGGGGACACACAGTATGCCATGTACCGAGCCATGAAGCAGATGCAACAAATTTCAAATAATCAGTATTTTTTAAGACTCAAATTAATTAAATAATATTCATTTTAAAACGTATAAATAAAGTATCAAACTATACATTTCAAAACTTGGGAAATCAATGAAGCAAAAATAAAGCCTAGGAGGAAATAAATAAGTAGCTGTATTAGGGTTTTCCAGAGGAATAGAACCAATAGGATACGTGTGTGTGTGTGTGTGTGTGTGTGTGTGTGTGTCTGTCTGTCTATCTGTCTGTCTGTCTGTCTGTCTGTCTGTCTGTGAGAGACAGTGAGAAAGAGACAGGGAGTAGAGAGAAGGTGATTTGTTATTAGGAATTAGCTCACACAATTATGGATCCTGGCAAGTTCAAAATCTGCATTGTGGGCCAGCAGGCTAGAGACCTAGGATTTCTGGTGGTGCAGATGAAATCTGAAGGGTGTCTTCTGGAAAATTCCCTCTTGCTCAGAGAGTGCAGGCCTTTTATTCTGTTTAGGCTTTCAACTGACCGAATGAGGGATGATGCAGGGCAATTTGCTCACTCAAATTTCACCAACTTAAATGTCAATTTCATCTCAGAACACCTTCCAGGTTAACACATAAAATGAACCTTTACAATAGCCTTAAATATTTAGACTGGGAAAAAGGAATTCTGAAGAGTAATGAACTAAGCATGCAAGTTAAGTCAGCAATTGGCAATTAAATCTATAAATACCAAGTCTTAGTAAGTTTGTGAATCAATAAGAAAACTTTGCCACTGCTGGTGGGAAAATAAATTTATACAATCCCTTTGGAATACAATTTGGAATTATCTTGAAAATATTCACAAACCCTATGAATAGCTATCCTCTTTCTAGATATTTACCATGAAGAAATTTTTATGTATGCTCACCAAGAAACATTTAAGGATTATTTACAGCAGCACTATTCATAAAAAAAAAAAAAAAAAAAAACAATCCTGAAAAATAACCCAAATGTCCACTAATAAGAGAATGGCTAAATATATGGTGTTATATTTTTACAATGTCATTTAAAAAATCCTACGAAATACTGCTACAGTATTTTACATGCAACTACTGGGATATGTTTTAGACATAATATTAGTGGGAAAAAAATTCTGGTCAAGGAAGCTTTCTGTAGTAATGATACCATTTCAGTTATTCCAATAGTTTAGAGATACAGAAGAAAAAAAAGTTCTCCCCTATGTATGGGATAAGTCATCACCAGAATTGTTCTGTTTTTTAAAGCATTTTAAGAAATATCCTAATATGTATACACATTAATGGAGTGCCATGTATATAACAGACCAAAAAATAAAAATTAAAACAAAGACACTTTGTATTCACAGACACATATTTTAATAACCATATTTGATATTGTTATAATAAATCATGTCAATGGCATAGACAAGGGGCTATGAACAGAAGATTCTTGTTATTCTTTCTTACTTTAATTTATAGATATATATTTATTGTCTTTTGTTTATACCTATACATTCAATTTTTTAATATAGTTTTCTAGACAATTTAATGGCTTCGGGGGTCCTCAAACTTCTTAAACAGGGGGCCAGTTCACTGTCCCTCAGACCGTTGGAGGGCCGGACTATAGTTTAAAAACAACTATGAACAAATTCCTATGCACACTGCACATATCTTATTTTAAAGTAAAAGTCAAAAGGGCAAAAACACCTGCATGTGCCCCACGGGCTATAGTTTGAGGACGCCTGGCTTAGAGTCAAATAGGACAGTTGACCTAGATCATGAATTCTGATAATCTTTATACAGTAATTATGTATTCCAAACTAGAGATTAGATTTAAAGATTGACTTCATATGCATGAGTTTTCAATTCCATAACAAAATCCCTCCTAAAGCACATGTATCTATTACTTTTAGTGCTATTGGCCCTTAGTTGTCTTTTTTATTTGTAACCATATATTCAATTCTTTTAAATAATTTTCTGGACAATTTTCTAGCTGAGAGTCAGAAAGGACAACTGACGCTGATTATGAATTCTTCTAACTTTTGCAGAGTAATTATGTATTATTAAGACAAACTAAAACTGGCATTTGAAGATTGACTTCCTATGCATGAATTTTCAGCTCCAGGAGGAAATTCCTCTTGAAATCTATGAATCTCTTATCCTTAATGCCATTGGTTTTAGATTACTTGAAGATAATGTAGGAAATAAGAAGTCATTCAGTGGGCATCTTCTAAACGATAAAAGGAGTAGTTATAGTCTGGCGCTGTGCCACAAAAGAGACACCAACCTCTATGGAAGGAGGGACCCTATGATGAAGTGGGACCACCTACTCTGTAAAAGTCCACCAGGCACCATGACAACCAATGCCACGTGATGTGGTATAATCATATCTGATGCCTTGTCTATTACAATTATTCTCTCTACAAATTGTAAGAATGGCAGCATTTGTTTTCAAGACACAGCACAACCAAAATCTACCACCAGGGACAAGCATTAGCCTGGCCTTCATATCACTAAGAAAAAGTAATTAATCTTGTTTCCGCTTCTAAAGATACACTATCAGAGGAAAAAAGTAAAGTCTCTACAATGAAAACAAATCTCTCTGATTTCACTGATTTGTATTCCAAATTAGTGCTTCTGACCTTTTCTTAAAACCTTAAGCATCACAAGGAATCCAGTGAGAAAGGAATCATGTGCTGATCAAGTTCTTAAAGAGCAGAAAAACCCACTGAAGTGAAAAGGGATTAGTAAAGGGTGGAGAAGGGGACTAGCCCCTCCCAGCCTGGGCGAACTGCTTTGGGATTAATTATCAGGCAGAAACCCACGTGCAATTAACAGCTCTGACATCAGGGGACAAGCAAGTATAAAACACTCAGCTCTAAGGGAAGTTTAGCAGAGAAGCCCCTCAGGAATTTAAGGTACTAGAGAGAAGCTCTATGGTGAGTGGGTGGGCTCCCGCCACAACTCCATTAGCATGGGAGCCTTTAAATCACAGAAATTAACTTGCCAGGAATCTGCTCTCAATTCTTCTTTCAGCTTCATGGTTAAATGTAATTAATGGTGGTGACCAGCTAGTAAATGCTCTTGATAAATGATATCCAGGAGAAGTGTGTGTGTGTATATACACACACACACACACACACACACACACACACACACACACACACGCATATATAAAAGGAAGAAAACTAAATGATTAAGATGGGGAATTTAATTATGTAGTTATTATATACATCAAATTTTTAAAGATAAATTATTATTTTTAGTATTTGTTTGAAATGTCATTTTACAGGTACAGATTCCATTTTGAAGGTGAGTTGGGAAGGGCTCCTACCATTTATAAGAGTACAAAAAAAAAACTTGCATAATTCCATTTTACTTTCTCCTCTTCAGCTGGATTTTAATTAGTGTGGCTTCATCTTCTTTAGGTAAAGGACCATAAACCAGATCTCTGTTCTGCACTCTTACTTCAAGCAGAATGAAAGCTCATAAACTCCTGTCTCTGGGATGTATCTTCTTCCCCCTGCTGTTTTTTCAGCAGGCCTGGGCTCAATTCCCACGGGAATGTGCTACTGTTGAGGCTTTGAGAAGTGGTGAGTGTTGCCCAGACCTGTCCCCTGTGTCAGGGCCTGGGACAGACCAGTGTGGCTTATCATCTGGAAGGGGCAGATGCGAAGCTGTCATTGCAGACTCCCGGCCCCACAGTCCCCACTACCCCCACGATGGCAGAGATGACCGGGAGGGCTGGCCCATGCGGTTCTTCAATAGGACATGCCAGTGCAATGGCAATTTCTCAGGACACAACTGTGGGACTTGCCGTCCTGGGTGGAGAGGAGCTGCCTGCGACCAGAGGGTTCTCACAGGTAAGTGGGGAGATAAATGGGTGGTCCCAATGAGACTCAAGGCTCTTAATAGAATCCTAAATCATTTGAGCTGGAGAAATACCTGAAAATCATAGTTTTCACAGTTGGGAAAAGTGAGGCTTAGAAAGGTTAGGAAATTTATTTGATTTAAAGGGTTGGGGTTGAAGCTCAGACCTCTGACTAATATTTCCTTCTGAAACATTTGTTCAGTAATTGCTATATGCTAGGAACTGTGTTTATAACTAGTCCTTTCAGTAACTCCTCAAGATAAATATGTTCATTGTCATAGATGGAGAGGTTCAGAGAGGTAAAATCCACATAGTTGGTTCTTGATAAAGCTGATTCACACTGCAATCTGTCTAACTCTTATATTTCAATATCTTCCACTACCCCTGCTAATGCACAAAGAAATTTCTGAACGTCATGATCAAATTCAGGCATTTTAGATGAACTGTCTGGCCTATCATCTAAATAGCATTAAATAAGAAAGTATTAAATAGTAACTGCCAGCAATATTTGATTGTTTTCTATATGTCAGACACTGGACTGTGTTGAACAGAACATTTATTGAGTCTTTATTATAAGCTGTGCCCTGATCTAATTGTTTTTATGTGTGTGCTCTTTGATTTTTACAACTCTATAAAGCAGGCATTATTTTCATCCACACTTTACAGATGAAAAACTGAAGCTTAGAAAAATGTGCCCAAAGTCACAGAACAAGTCTCTGCTGTTTAGCCACTATGCTACACCACCGACCTTTTCTTTGTAAGATTTATGCATTAAAAAGTCCAAGAAAAATGCCAATAGTGGGCAAAAATTAATGTGACAAGAATCACAGAATCATAAAATCAGAAAGAAAACTAATAGAAATCCTAGAGCCAACTGGAGAGAGAAAAAGATGGAGGGAGGGAAAGAGAAAGAAAGTAGGCTGGAAGAAAGGGTTTTAGTTAGGGGTATTTTTAAAGGAACAAAATAATTTAAAACATATTTGAACATATGGACATAGAACCATGCATGGGTAAAGGAGTCATGGGCTGTTACAAGATGAATATTATTCTTTTCTACCCATCCCCACAAAGCAGATGTTTTCATGTTTGCATTTTTTGTATCCCTAAAGTCAGGAGAAATCTTCTAGACTTAAGTACGGAAGAAAAGAACCACTTTGTCCAGGCTCTGGATATGGCAAAGCGCACGACTCACCCTTTATTTGTCATTGCCACCAGGAGATCAGAAGAAATATTGGGGCCAGATGGCAACACGCCACAATTTGAGAACATTTCCATTTATAACTACTTTGTTTGGACACACTACTACTCAGTCAAAAAGACTTTCCTTGGGGTAGGGCAGGAAAGCTTTGAAGTGGATTTCTCCCATGAGGGACCAGCTTTCCTCACCTGGCACAGGTACCACCTGCTGCAATTGGAGAGAGACATGCAGGTACGTAGAAAACCTTTCAGTTTTCAGACCCTTTACAGATGAAGTGCCTTGTTGGTAAGTCATCTTAATTCACTGCTTTTCCAAATGATCAAAACATGTGATGACAAAGCAGTTTCATGTTATTAATCTGCCTCTGACATTCAGTTAAGTTTTTCCTCATTTTGATTACTTGTTAATGAATCTTTATCTTTTGTGAAGTGAAAAGAAGGTAATAGGAACAATGAGAAAGCCAACTGAGATATTTGTAGGTGTGAATTAAGAGTTCAAAAATATTCTACAACTCTATAATTTAAGAAATGACTCTCATAAAATCCCTTCTCCACTAAACATAAGCAAATGCCCCTCCTGGTCTAGATAATACAGGTATGTAGATAATTCTCAGTATTCCCAGTCCCAAATACCTCATCATTACACTTGAATATTTCAAATATGGCATAGGATTAAATCATGAAAAAAAATTCCTTTCCATTTAGATTGCCTTATTTTCATTGAACTACTTTTTTTTTCTGCCCCTTACGACTTTGTTGCTTACAGAAGAAACCTATTGAAAAATTTTACATTACTATATGAGATGACAATTATGTTAATTTTGTATATCTTGACTGTAGTAATCACTTTACCATGTATACGTATACCAAAATACCATATTGTACACTGTAAATATATATAATTTTATAAAAGGACAAAAATATCACATCAGTCAGGCATTATTTTTAATGAAAAAACATTGGCCTTTTTTGGCATAAAGTGAACCTCAACTTAACCACAGTTATTTCATGCTTATTTTTCTAGCAGATATGCTCAAAACACATGAAAGTATCTAGTAACATAGATACTTTATTCTCATTTCTTTTACCAACTACCTCTGTTTCATGAGAAAAATTATTGCTATTTTAAAATAAGATTTGAAATTATTAAATTTCAACTAGGAAATCCACAAAGTTAACCTGTTTCCCATGTAAAATAATAGCAATGGATTTCTCCCTCCAAGTTAAAATTTAAAAATTAAACCTAAAAGTGTCTAAAGACAGAAAAGGTGTTTAAATACATTTATTGATTTTCAGGATGCTTGTGCCAGCATTATTCCGAAAAAAAAAAAAATGGTTGGAAGAGAGAGAATTAATGCACTAAAATATGAAATAAAATATTCTTTTGAAAGTAGTCTATCCATATGCAGTTTGAGAGTGATTAAATGAATTCATCTGATACTCTGAACATCATATTTTATAGCTCTGATTACAAGTAAGACATTTAGTAGATTATGAGTATATAAATCTGTCATTTGTAATTTACTGCAGATCTTCATGCCTTTAAAGTCATTTTCGCATGGGCACACCAAAATGAAAGGGCAGGTGGAAAGTATCTAAAAGCTTCGATTTTTCCTGTGTAAACTTCAACCTCCATGACTTACATTTTTAAAACCCAACAGCATGAGAGATCCAACAAATTACAATCTAAATGTAATGCACAGCTGAAATGCCACATGAATATGCTCTGGCTCCCAAATGTCAGTTACTGAACCACAAAGCTACTCTTAATGATCCCATGGAAGCTGTTACTAATTTTTGTGAACCACAATGATGGCTTTCTAAAGAAGGGCGACAAACCCCTGGAGACCAATAAATGGGGATGACTTGGAAAGCTCTTGGCTCTCTAGAACATCCAAGGATAAGAAAATGCATCCTAGAGAGGAATTTAAAATGAAAAAGCAGAAATGAATTGAGTGCTTGGGATTTAAGATAAAACAATGGCAATCCCTACATTTAAATCTCAGACTCTAAATATAACTCTTCAAAGGCCAAAAAAACTGAGAAATAACAAGTAAATATATGTCTTAAGAAACACAGTAAAATAAGAATGTTATCTTGATTTGAGCCCAGCATTTTTTTTAAAATATGAGATCAGCTCTAAATAGAAACTAGGTCTCTGATTCTAAGGACAATAGGCACAAAGATTAATTTTGCTTCTGTTTAGTATTTCTGTCTGTATGAGTTTTATCCAGAAGCCTGAGTCCTAATAGTTTACATTCTGAAGCAGGGTCTCTAAATGAAACACCAAATTGTGGCCAGGCAGATGAGTGCGAAAGAGCCCAAGTGACCTGTGGCCAAACCAGAATCTGAATACCTAAAGTCATTCAAATGAAATTTCAAAATAGAACAAAACAAAAATCACTGGTCCACAAAATATATTTCAAGGCGGGATCTGGCTCCAGACTAAAAGCTAGTGATGCTTGAATGAAAGATAGGAAAATGGAAGAATGTGGAAATGTCAACGAGAGGATGTTATTACTGATAATTTTTGGTATAACCAATAAAAATGTAATTACCTGCCTAAGAACGAAAAGGAAGACCTTTTCCCCCTCCAAATTACTTGCAGGTTTTCTTCATAAGGAGTTGAGTTTCATTCCCTCTGGTGCTTAAATGAGTCCGTATCATAAATCTAAGCTTTGTTAAATTAGGTGTTTGACTCCTCTGGGCCCCTCAGACACTACTGATACACTGACTGGTACTTCAGTGGCTGAAGGCAGCTACCAGAAATAAACTGCCAGAGAGTAAACCAAGCAAAGAAGAATAATTATAAACAGAAACAGGGAATATTAACAGAGTTTTTGTGATCTAGGACATGTTGCAAGAGCCTTCTTTCTCCCTTCCGTACTGGAATTTTGCGACTGGGAGAAACGTTTGTGATATCTGCACGGATGACTTGATGGGATCAAGAAGCAACTTTGATTCCACTCTTATAAGCCCGAACTCTGTCTTTTCTCAATGGCGAGTGGTCTGTGACTCTTTGGAGGATTATGATACCCTGGGAACACTTTGTAACAGTAAGTTCCAAATGACAGCTAGGAGTCAGAACTTCCCTTTAGAAGTTAAATATTTTAAAGATTAAATATGCTGCCTGGAAGGCCGTTTCATTCTACTAGGGAGTTCAGACGAAAATCTACTTTTATTATATAGAATCAGTGTACAGATATTCACTAACTGCTTCGAATATTCAAGGCAATCTATAAGGTGCTCCAGAGGAAACAAAGTGCGTACACATTTTTAAATACCTTTTCTTGAGTAATTTGGTTGGTGCATTGCTAACTTCTTTATTTTGGAAACGTCTAGGTGTTTAAACTAATCCTCTTAGTTTTCTTAGCACCGCTCAGTAGTCATGTGTCTTGTGTTGGAATTTCACAGAAAATATTTCCCAAGAAAATCTGAAAAATATGCAAAAAAAGTTGGAAATATCCAGGGAGAAAAAAAATTTAAAAAATAATTCTTTATTCTTATTCAGTCAGCAAGTTAAAAACCAAAACGTGATATCAGGGGTACATTTTAGAAAAGGAAGATATTGTATTGATGTGTACCAGCTAGCTGCTTTCCAACTCTCCCAAGGTGAAAACAGTAAGAGAATGTCTAACCATGCCTAATCCATTGTCCTAGCATCCTCTCTCTGGTGATCTGAATGCCACATCTATCATAGGTCAAATTTCTGTTACATGTATATCTTTCCCTAAGCTTTGTATTCTCTTCCTTTTGTCATATTATAATCTGTCCCTATGACAATAATCAAGATTTAATTATTAGGCTCCCCAACCCCACTTAATTTTTCATTTTCAGGCATGCCTGGCTATTTTAAACTTTCACGTAAAAACTAGAATTACGTGAATTCATTTTATTATTATAGTCATGTATATTTATTTTGCATATATTTATATATATAATATTAAATTATTTGTAAACTTATAAAAAGTATATTCTGAATATATCAGAAGGAATTAGATATTTTTTCACCATTAGCAGATTATTTAGCTGTACATAGGAATTAAAGAAAGGATAATGTATATGAAATTGTCCTCTGTAGAAGTTTAAAAATTAGGATAAATTTTTCTTTGATATGTTAAACAAGTGGTCCCACCTTGTGGCAGAGAAATGAAATTGATGATCAGAATATCTTCAGATGCCATGGCATTTATTTCTTTCTGGCTATGCTATTGTATTTTGGCCTGGGAGTTTTCCAGACATTTTCCAATCTTCCTGATGATTGGATACCAAAATAAACACAATTTAAATGAGTAAAGAAAATTATAACATAGGAGGGGAGAAGAAAGAAGAAGAGATTGTGTTTTTATCAGTTTTTCTTGTCAGTGAATATACCAAATTTCCTAACTCAGACACATAGTTTCACAAGAAACTGAAGATTATTTATTTTAGGTTAAACAAATTTCAAATTTCTTGTCTTGGTTAAAAATATAAAGACTTAGCTTAGCATTTTATTTATTAGATGAGAGAAAGAAAATAACCTAAGATTTTATTGAACACATATTATGTGTCTAACATGGTGTCAAATGCTTTAATGTGGTATTCTATTTAATCTTCATAGTAATTTTTCTTCCCTCTACTTTTCTTTTGGAATGATCTTATTCATTCCTATGGTTTCATTGATCACCTTTTTACAAGAGACCCATACATATACATATTTAGATCAAATTTCCCTTAGGTATTTTATATCTATGTCTTCATATGCTTGTTAAATAGTATCTCTTCAGCATTCCATTAATGCACCAAACTTGGTAGGTTGAAAATGTAAATTATTATACCTAACATTCTTCCAGCAACTAAAATGTCATCATTGATTCATCATATAAAGAACATTGTTCTTTCTTCACAATACTTCTCAAATCTATTTTTTCCTTGAGATAATTTGGAACTTTCTATTTATATTTAGGTGGAAATACCACAGGACTCAGATCCATAATAGATGCAATGGCAGAAGTTGTCCATATGAGAACAAATTTAAAAATCAGTAGGCTAAAAATATGCTAGTTTAAGTAGTTTCTTTACTGTCAGAATTCTTTGCTATGAAACTTCATGGGCAAAATAGGATGTAGCATTTCAAAACCTAAGTAATCAATGCTTTTTTCTTGGAATTTATTGATAGTTTCCTAAACAGTAATCCCCAAAACATCAACTTGAATTCATAGTTTAATTAGTGGAAAGTTTTTGGTGATAATATACACCTCAAAAATGTACATCCATTTCCAGTCCCAATATAGGCATATGTTTTATTTATATATTATATAAAGTTCATTATGCCAATTCATCAAGTACTAATTACTATGTTAATTGTAAAGCACAGAACACAGGAAGCTTTAAGAATGAGATAAAAGGAATATGAGATGAAGTTGTAATATTATCTCTCCCAGTCTAGTGGATAAATTTGTCCCTCTAGGACATATATATTCTTCCCTGGAGACCATTGGATTGACAGCAAAATGCTCCTAACCAATCTCTTCTCCCACCAATCTAAGGCTTCAATTTCTCTCCACTTCCTAATGAATTAAATATAACTTTTTCATCTTGGTATTTGATTTTTTCCCAATATGGCTCTTGTCTGGTTTCCCATTTTTCACACAGTCCACTACTCTCCTACATTGCCACATACTCCAGGCAAGCTATTTCCCGAACAGGCCCTTTTGTACAGTTAGCATGATCCTTCCCATATAATGACAGGCACAAAACAACTCTTCAACACCTATTAAATGCCAGCCACTGTGCCAAGACTGAAGGATGCAAAGACTTTTATTGTAGATAGGAGTTTTTGTTACAGAGATAAGAAAGCTTATCATTTTGTTATTTCCTTTGCCTACAATGTTTGTCTTGTAAAATTTCTCCTGTTTCACCTACTGAAATTCTTCTCAGTCCTTCAAAGCTCTTTGTAAATCTCTCTTCTTTATGAAACTCCCCTCTTCCTCTCTCTGCCCCTCTCCTTTAAGACATCTGTCATATTATCTATCCTTAGTATCACAGCTCTTTGTTTGCCTGTTTGTTCCTGCTCTTCAAAATTTTAGTTTAGTCCTCATATTAATTGCTGGAAAAGTTGAAAAGTATGTGTTGATTGAAATATGTACCACTTTCCAAAGAGATTTATGGTTATTGTTTTCTTATTTTTCTGAAGGCTTAACCCACTGGCATTTGGGTGCAAAATTTCATGTATATATGAAATACAGATTTCAATGTGGAATTTAGCGTTTATGAGATTATTTTGGCAAAATTCAGTTTTCCATGGAATTTTCATTTTAATACATTCTCATGAAAGAAGCTTATATGGATTCAACAAACACCAGGGCTGTATCTGTTCGTGTGGTCATTTTTTTCTTCAGATGTTTTTATGTATTGCATATCTACTCTACTCACAGAAGTAGGACATAGTAACTGAGATTTTCTAACATTTATGCTACTAAATATGCATTTTTAAATTTTCTCTTCTACCAAGAAGAACATATATTTCAGTGTTTGTGCTATATGTAAAGTTTTAAAGAGCAATGGTAAGGCCTCTAAACATTTCGTGAATGTCTGCATACCCCATCTTTTTCCAGGCACTGAGAATGGGCCAATTAGGAGAAATCCGGCAGGAAATGTGGCTAGACCAATGGTGCAACGTCTTCCTGAACCACAGGATGTCGCTCAGTGCTTGGAAGTTGGTTTATTTGACACACCTCCTTTTTATTCCAATTCTACAAATAGTTTTCGAAACACTGTAGAAGGTAAATAAACAAAATCAGTGCTTTGAATTGACCTAGTTATCAGAGTAAACCGAAGTATTCAAAAGCAGTTCTTTTGAAATGGCTTTGAATAGCATATTGATCCTGTGAGTTTATGTGAATGAGGTTACCTATTATTATTCATCAGTTCAGAAAAGAACTTTCTTAAAGAGAAGTGTCAGACCATGAAACTCTTTTGAATTATTATAGGAGAAACCCTTGGAAATTATTCTTCAGTCTCTTAAACATCTAAAAACTAATTAAGTTCATATTTCTGGTAATTCTCTGGCCAATATGTGTAACTATATCAAGGTCTAGCATTGGCAAATATTAATAATATTCAAAATTTTGACAGCTTACTAAAATTTTTTTCTTTAAAAAAATAAGAGTAACAATAAAAGAATTCCAAACAATTAGTTGACATCCACTAAAGCCAGGTTTGGGCAAATGTTTTATTTAGGTCTATATCAACCTATAATGTAACTTTTTTTAAAGGTCTATAAAAATTCAAATTAGTACCTACTGACATTGAATTTGGTTTTCTTTGTTTCTCTCAAGCGTTTTTAAAGCTGAGAAAACTGAGGTCTAAAGAGACAAAATGACTTTCCCAAGATATTCAGATAGGTAGTAACAGAACACAGATTCAAATCCAAATTGTCTAAATCCATACCTTTATATAATAAATTTTGATACCTTCAAATCATGCTTGATATATATATATATAGTTAAAAGTGAATATAAACACATTTAACTTTATTATAAACTTGCTGTCATCAAATTCTACCTTAAATATAACGTAGAACATGTCAGATGTATCCTGCCCCCCTCAAAAATGGGACTAGACCTCCCTGCCCTATGATCTGAGACAGTTGATATATAAACCTGATAATTAATTTTAATTCTTTCCCCTTTTATGCTCAAAATTTCTGCCATGTTTATCTTTATTCTGACCTAAATTTTAATAACTACATGAATACACTGATTTGGAGATCATTCAATAAATAATCGCTGTATTTTGCCTAAACTGATATCCATAAACTAAGTCTATAAGTACTTATATTTTAAAAAATGTGCAGATTGTGTGTTCTAATGCCCAATCAGAGAACAAATTATACTGATTTCCCGATAGAATATATAAAACGACTAGTGCCTACCCATAAGCCATGTACATTAGAGGCAATCTTTAAATTATTTTTGAATCAAGTAATAATGTAATAAATGCATGAAAAAGTAATTAATGAATCAATAATTGTCTGTAACTATACAATTAATCTTAGGCAAAGAGAGAACAGGTTAACATATTTTAAATTTGGATTTCATTTATAATATACAACCTTTTCCTGATCTCCCACTCCTAGTCTTTCAAGCCAATCAGACAACCTACATTATAGATCCTCCCTTTTTATTTGTGATCTGTCCTGTGTCTATCCCAGTCTTCTCCCGTATATATGGAATATATAAAGAAATATATATATGTGAAATGGAGATGTTTATCAAAAGTTTTATAAATGTTTTGACAGTAGGCTTTCCAAACATTTAAAACTAGTACAGGGATGGTAAGAAAGCTCTGGAAAATTATAATTTACCTACAAAAATAAAGTAATTTTCTAAAAATAAACATGCTGACAGTCATTCAAAAGGAGTAAGGTAGGAGGCTGAAGTAACATCTGGCAATTTAAGTTCCAAGACCATCAGAGCGGTGTTCTCCCAATTGTGTCAGCAGTTTTTATTAGAAACTGGAGATTTCTACTATCTTTATTTCTATGTAGAGCACTGTCTGCTTTGTCAAATATAATGTTCTATATATTCTGACTGGTATCCTTTGCAGGTCATTATTTTTAACCTAGAGGCTACATTTGGGATGTCATGCTACTAGCATAAAACAAACCTAGCTCTGGGTATAGCAAGCAAATGTCATCAACCATAGGTACAGAGAAGCAATGTTATCATATCAAGGCAAAAATTGGCCTGACATCCTTAGGAAAAAATTGTTTCCCAATATAATCACTACTATTGATTTGAAAAGTAAGATATTTGCAATGGTTTTTACTATTTCCATCCTTGCTTTTATGTCTAGGTTACAGTGACCCCACAGGAAAGTATGACCCTGCTGTTCGAAGCCTTCACAATTTGGCTCATCTATTCCTGAATGGAACAGGGGGACAAACCCATTTATCTCCAAATGATCCTATTTTTGTCCTCCTGCATACTTTCACTGATGCAGTCTTTGATGAATGGCTGAGGAGATACAATCCTGGTGAGATACTTTCCAATACCTTTTGCAGGCTTAGCCAAACAGGCTGTTATAGTGGCAAAGTTGTCAGTTTAAGCTGAGCACTTAGCATACATAAAATACACTTCAAAATAAGGGTAAAATAGCTATGATATCTAGCCATTTCCAAATGTTCAAACCCACTTTGAAAAGGCAGGCAAGTTTCTTAGAGTTATGGAGGCTGAGGAGCCCAAGGTTGAGGGACTGGGTCTTTTGAGAGCCTTCTTGGCTAGTGTGGACTCTGCATAGTCCCAAGTTGGTGTAGGGCATCGCATGCTAGACTGAACATCCTAGCTCAGGTCTCTTCTCTTTCTCTTCTTATAAAACCACCAGTTCCTCTCCCATGATAAGCCATCAGTCCATTTATATGTGAAAGGATTAATCCATTCATGAGGGAAGAGTTCTCATGAAGGGGACAAATATTCAAACCCAGCCTTCTCACCTATTCCAACTCTTCCAAATATAGTTCATTAGTGTCTGCCCAAGCCCACGTCCAACTCTGGTTTTATGACATTCTATTTGGTATTTAATTTTACACAAATATGGGACAAGCAAACAAACAAACAAAACCAATATTTTGCCACAAATAACTTATCATTCCTTTTATCCCTCATGACAGAAACTCACTAATAATATAAATGCCCATTGTTTATGTTTGAATAGAAAAAGGAGAGATGGCAGCAAGCAAATAGGATTTCAGTATCTTGATTCAAAACTTTAACTATTTTTTGTTAACAGAATAAAACCCTGGGAATAAAGCTAATAATGATTTCTGTAAAAGTAAACAGAAAAAATAAAAGTATCAAATAGAAATAGTCATAGTCAAGGACAATCTCCAGTAGATACACCGTATCTCAAATTTCAATTATAGATGATACTACAACAAATGTCAGGTCCACTTTTTTCTTTGGTTTTGAAAAATAAGTTTAATAAATTTTATTCAAATGAGTTTTCCATCATTTAAAAATAAAACAATTAATGATCATCATAAATGATAAAATACTAAAACTCCTCTGCCTTTAAACCTTCTTTTTCTATTAAGTGATATGTTGTTGCTGTGTTCAAAGCATCTGAACTCTGTTTTATGTAATTCCCTGTTCTGCTGCAGAAAAACTCTCTTTATGTCTTTATTCAGTGTAAAATTGTTTCATGTTCTCCTTGAATATCGGATACCTTCAGAACATAATAATGACATTAATACTACCTTTATTATGTTCATTAACAAGTTGTCTTTGGAATAATTTAGATATATCCACATTTCCATTGGAAAATGCCCCTATTGGACATAATAGACAATACAATATGGTGCCATTCTGGCCTCCAATTACCAACACAGAAATGTTTGTTGCTGCTCCAGACAACCTGGGATATGCTTATGAAGTTCAATGGCCAAGTGAGTATTGAAAATGTATTTTTACCGTGATGATTTCCAAAGGCAAATTTGTTCTCTTTAAAGTAATCTCAGTATTCTGAGGCTACATTTTCCATTTGGAATTAGAGGCTTTTATTCAGATTTTTATTTGGGGATAAAGAGAGGGAATTTCACATTTGCTAAGAGCCCACTCTAACCTAGCATTAAGCTGATTAGAAAGCACTCTATCTCATTTAATCTTCACAACCCTTTGAAGTGACTATTATAATCTTCCTTTTACATATACAGAAGCTGAGTCTTAAAGAGATTAATTGTTAAAGGTTCACATTTCTAGTAAGAGGAGAGAATGAGTTTTGAACTTAGGCCCACCAAGTAATAGTCCCAATTTTTCTACTACACCATGTTGCCTCCATTCATCTATACTAAAGGAAGAGGGAGTAACATACTCTGCGCTACTTTTTCTGAGATTTTGAACTTTAAAACTTTTTTTATTTTAAACTTCTGTCTCAACAAAGGCAGTAGGGCATAGTAGAAGAGCACAGAATTTGGATTCTGAAAAATCTGGATTCCAAACCAACCCTACTGCTTATTCACCAAGTAACCTTGGGCAAGTGACTCAAACTCTTTGAGCCATCATTTTCTCATTTTTTGAATATTAAAAGAAATTAGAAAGTACCTTTGAGATGACAAGTGCAATCTTAGGCAATATGACCAATATAAATAAAATATCAGGATTTCTGTTAAAGTGCCTGGGATAGTGCCTAAATTGGGGGCATCGAATTTTTGGTGATAGCTATTTTAATGTTTATCTCTTCACTCTTCTTTTTCAAATAGGTCGGGCTTTTAGTATATCTGAGATCATTACCATAGCAGTAGTTGCTGCTTTAGTACTGGTTGCAGTCATTTTTGTGGGTGCTTCTTGCCTAATTCGTGCCAGAAGCAAGATGGATGAAGCCAATCAGCCTCTCCTCACTGATCAGTATCAACACTATGATGAAGAGTATGAAAAGTTCCAGAATCCTAATCAGTCTATGGTCTGATGACAAGTGACCTCATTTCGTAGACATTAGTGTCACAAAACTATCTGGTTGAAAAATAATAAATTGAGTTACTAACTATATTATCTTATACTTTCTTTCATATATATGCATATGTTGGAATTGAAATTCCATGCATTTGTTTTCAGAGCTGGGAAGGGGCATTCAGACTCTTTTCATAAGGTTCTGATTTTCAGCTCCATTTAAAATGGTGGGTTGCACTAATTCCATGATATTTAAGGGGATAGTGTAAATATCTTTGGCATGTTTTAAAGGTTGACTATATGATGATATAAATAAGCTGCTGTACTTTGCTGATATGTGAAGGAAAATAATGTTTGACAGTAAATCTATGTTTAAAATACATGAGTGTGCATTTCTATAATGTTAAAATATAAATACATTTCCATTCATTAATATTGGTCAACAGATATAAAGGAAGCCACATTTATTAATTAAAATAAATTAAATGGTGTTATAAATAAATGACGTCTTGATTAGCTTTTTAAAATTAGTCTTCCCATTTAAAGACCATTCAAACATATCATTTGGTTGGCATATATTGTTTAGTCTTAGGTTCAAGGCCACAATAAAATCACAGTCATTATCACACTTTAAAGAGGTAAAAGCTTTACTTTTTAAAGAGATAACTGACATTGCATATGTTTGCCACTATGTTCCCATATGTTTGCCACTGCGTTCCCCTACCTCCCCTTCTCAATTCACTGAAAAAGGAACTACGCATAGGTACATTCCACCTCCTAATTTCTCTTCTAATATCTTAGAAGTCCACAAAGAAAGCATAAATGTGGAGAATATGCTTCATAGTGCTCTGCAAATAGTATTATATTCATTGTGTTTAAATTTAAATAGTACTCTCTTATCATTTATGAGCATTTTTGTATTTTCAAAATAAAATATTAAATAGTGTTTTATTAGTTCTCCTTTTCTATCTAGCTCCATAAGAATGCTATTTTCCTCCATCTTCTAATATGAAATATTATCTTCTATTTTTGATTTTGTGCTACAAAACAATATTCTCAAGAATGACTATATAGGCTGTTCATAAGTGAATAAATGTTTTAATTAAAATTTGTGACCAGGTGCAGTGGCTCACATTTGTCAACTGAGCACTTTGGGAAGCCGAGATGGGAGGATTGCATGAGGCTAGCAGTTTGAGACTAACCTGGGCAGTATAGAGAGACCCCATCTCTGCAAAAAAAATTTAAAATTTAGCCAGGTGTGGTGGCATGTTCCTGTAGTCCCAGCTATTTGGGAAACTGAGGCAGGAAGATCACTTGAGCCCAAGTGTTTGAGGCTGCAGAAGCTACCATTGTTGCTCTGCACACCAGCCTGGGTGACAGAGTGAGACCTTGTCCTTAAAAAAATAATAATAAAAATAAAAATAGAACTGGTAAAGAGACATAATAACGATAATACTCATATACTATAGAAAATGGCTAATCTGATATACTCAACTCAATAACTAGAAACAAGATTAAAGTTATATACCCCTGATTGGATACTAAGTTTCCCTATATTAATAAAATTTTAAGACTATATGCACAAGATAAACAAAATACATTAAAGAGTATGAATATAACAATAGGATGTTTTAAACTATCATTGCTCAATTTATTCTCTTGGAATACATTGTGATTTATTAAAATACTGTATATTCATAGCTTTTCAGAGAAATCATTATGTAATGTAAGATTCCTTTTTATATAGAACATCAATGAAACTAAATAACCCACTTTATATTTCTGTAGATTTACTAATTACTTATTTTGGAAACATTAATTAAGCACCTACTAGATTTCAGAGATAGTTCAAAGCACTGTAGATTTGAAGAAAAGAAAGTCAGAATTATACAATTGAGAAGGTCATATTTGACTTGTGCTTCAGGGAATGCCAGTGGAGTTACCAAATATAAAAGTAGAGAAGGGCATTCTTCTCAAAAGTGACAGACTGAACAAAAGCACAGAAGTCTGAAAGACCATGGAGCATTAGAAAATATAAAGTAAGTCAGTGTGACTAAAGCGTAGTTTTCCTTAAGAGGAATAGAAACATAAATCAGAAGTAAAACCAGAGTGCTCTATATGCATCCTAAAAACTTTGGAATTAATTCTATAGGAAAGAGGGGGAACTCAGAAATAGGCTGTGTTTTATAGATGGTGATATTTTGTAAATAATGTTGAGGATTGGTTAGGAATGGGTAGAGTGGAGCTTAAGAGACTAGTTAATATGAAATACATTGTGGGAAAAAGAAGGAAGGCCTGTCTTGAAACCTAAATATTCATTCTAAATAATTTTAACTGTCGGAAAAAGCTACAGACATCATGTTATAAATATACCTTTGAGAAAATAATTACAAAAATAATTAACAAAAGAAGACAGCAAGAGAGAAAGAAAGGATGAAAACAGATGGAAAACTACTAACAAAATGGCAGTAGTAAGTCCTCACCTATCAATAATTATTTTAATGTAAATGGCTTAAACTCTCAATCAAAATACTTAAAATGGCTGAATGGATCACAAAAACAAGATCCAGTGACTTGCTGTCTATAAGACACTCACTTTAGATTTAAGGATCACATTGGTTGAAATTGAAGTGATATAAAATGATATTCAAAAAATAGTAACCAAAAGAAAGTAGGGGTGGCTGTACTTATTTAAGACAAAATAGACTTAAAAAGTAAAAATTGTCTTTAGAGATGAAGAAGATCATTATATACTGATAAAATGGTCAATTTAAAAAATATATAAAAATTATCAATATATACATACCCCTGTCAGAGCACCTAAATATTAATATGTAAAGCAGATATTCAGACATCTAAAGGGGGAAATTGATAGTAATAAATGATAGCAGGACACTGCAATAATGAGTAGGACATCCAGGCAGAAGATCAATAAGGAAAGAGTATTTGAACAGCACTGTATGCCAATTGGACATATACATAACATATACATAACATTCCCCCTAACGGCAGCAGAATATACCTCTGTTTCAGCAACATGTTCTTCTCAAGTGCACATGGAACATTCTCAAGCATAGATTCCATTTTAGGTAACAAAACAAGTCTTAACAAATGTAGAAAGATAAAAATCATTACAGGTATTTTTCAGACTGCAATAAAGAAAAATTAATAATCAATAGTAGCAAAAAAAGGGGAAATTTCCCAAGGGCGGAAATTAACCACCTTGTTTTTGATTACCCTTTGGTTCGTTGGGGAATTCAAGGGGGTTTTAAAAAATTTTTTTGAAAGAATGAACACAAAAACATAACATACCAAAACTTACGAGATGCAACAAAAGCAGTACTGAAAGGGAAGTTTAGAGCAATAAATGCCTACATTGAAAAAGAAAAAAAGAAAAATCTCAAATAAGCAAGCTAACTTTAGAACTCAAGGAATTAGAGAAAGAACAAGAACGAAACTCAAAGTTAGCAGAAAGAAGGAAATAATAAAAGTTAGAGCAGAAATAAATAGAGAATTTAAAAACTTAAAAAATCAAGAAAACTGAGGGATTTGGGGAGAAAAAATAAACAAAATCAACAAATCTTATGTAAACTAAGAAGAAAAGGGAAACAAATCAAAATCAGAAATGGAAGAGCACATTAAAATATATTTCAAAACAAAAGGATAAAAGGGACTTTTATGAGCAATTCTATGTCAAAAAATTGTATAATCTATAAGAAATAAATAAATTCCTAGAAACATGCAACATACCAAGACTGAATTAAGAAGAAACAGAAAGTCTGAATAGATCAATAATAAATAAGGAGATTAAATCAGTAATTAAAAACCTCCTCATAAAAAAAAGTGCTGGACCAGATGACCTAAAAGGTGAATTCTACACACGCAGAGGAGAATTCATACCAATCTTTAAATTCTTCCAAAAAATATTTTTAAAAAAGGGATACTTCCAAATTCATTCTATGATACTAGCATCAACCTGATGCCAAAACCAGAGAAAGACACTGTAAGAAGAGAAAATTCCAGGCCAATATCCCTGATGAAAATAAATGCAGAAATCTTTAATAAAATGCTAGCAAAATTAAATCAGTAGCACTTCAAAAATAGTATATACCATGACCAAGTGGTATTTATCTCTGGTTTGCAATGTTGGTTAAATATACATAAATCAAAAAAATATGATACACCACATAAACAGAATGAAAGATAAAAGAACACGATCATTTAAATAGATTTGGAAAAACATTTGACATACTGTTACTGTCTATGTCATACTGACATAGATTCTACATATAAGTGAGATCATATAATATGTCATACTTCATCCATGTTTCCTTTGGTTTGTTGTGTCCTAATATATAGTTGTGTGGCTAGTGAAAGTGGAAGAGAATTTTAAAAACTAGGGATTTATATGGGTTTAAACCAAATTCATTTATCTTTCAACATAGTACATTTCCTAATTTTCCTCTATTGGAATTTTCCTATAAAGCTGGAAGGAATCTTAGCACTATCCACCTGGCTTTTTCATTACCCAAATGAGAAAACTGACAGCCATGGAGGTGAATACTCCTGTACAAGGCAACACAACTAGGAAGAAGATAATGAAGTTGAGAATCCAAGCCTACCAATTTCCAGAGGAAGTGAAGCAGCTTCTCAAACATTTCTTTGTAGTGTTCTATTGTTACCACTCCAAAATTATTAAAGATAAATATTTTAGTCACTTTCCTATTAATATACTTACTTTTATATTTCTTTAGAACTCATTTTATTTGGTAAGGGGGATATAGGATAATACAGAGATTACAAGCTAAAGCAAGAATGTAAACAGCACAAAAACACAAAAAAGTGGTGGTTGCCCCATAAGCACAAAGATCGGAATAATTAGGCTAATCAACGTCTTTTCTCCAATTTCTAGTGCAGCGAAAAGTAAATATCTACCAAGAGAAAGAATAAATGGACATATTTTACTATTACAAGTATACATGGAACTGAAAGATAAATGAAACAAAACACAGTTAGTAGAAAGTAGGAAAGATGAAACTGATAAGGCCCTAAAAAGGGAAATACTGTTGAC